TTTTTTTTTTTTTTATAAATTTGTTCTTACCTATTTATATTTTATATTAATTTTTGCGTTTTCAGTTTCTTTTTAAATCGTTGTGTTTTTCTTTCTTTTTTACGTTTTTTGAACAATTTCTTATATCAAAATTTGACGACTATGTTTCCAATCATTTTTTCAGTTTAAACACAACAATTATTTTAAAATAAAATTGATTATTATTTAATAAGTGTAGAATAGATAACATTAATTGCTAAAATTGGATGTTTTGTTCTTGAGCGCACAAAATATTTTATACATCCAAATTTTTTTAATAAAATTAACACATATTAAACACAAAATAAAGAGAATTAATTTTTTAGATTCTCTTATTCCTGATCTTCCTAATAACTAATTTCTAAATATATTAGATTTTACGATTTAAATATATAATCTTTAGAATTTATTTAAAGATGTCTAAAATCAAAATCAAATTAACATTGTTGCATTTCTTATTATCTATAATAAAAATTGAATATATTCGATAATATTATTGGAATACTCAAATCCCAACAATTGGAGATAAGTTAAACGGGTAAATAATTTTTTCCAACCTGTACTATACGTGATTTTGGAATTTTCAACTTAAAGTATTTTTTTTGGTAAAATGCAACCTGAACTACATATATACAATTATTTGCATGCTCGACTACTTTTTGACCGTTCGATCAACAATAAAATAGGACACGTGTATGGTCAAGATGTGGTCGAACGTGCAAATAGTGATTGTATATATAGTTCAAGTTGCATTTTACAATAAATAATACTTTAGGTTGAAAATCCCAAAAACACGTATAGTACAGGTTGAAAAATATTATTTACCCTAAGTTAAACATAGACAAAACTTTTAAAATAAAATCTAAGCTTTCTTTTTATAGTGTTCATTTAGAAAAAAAAAAAGAGTAAATACAAAAATAAAATTGTGATTCTAAAATCTGAACAATTGAAAGTACACTAAAAAAAACTGTTACATTCCAACGGAAATTTTCCGGTGGAATTCTTTATATTTTTCGTTGGAATAGCTATTTTAACGGATATTTCTACGCATAAAAATTCTTGGGAAAGACGGTCGTTGGAATAACTAAAATTCAACGGAAAATCCTATGGAAATAAATTCCTACAACTATTCTAACGGAAAAAGTCCGTTGGAATTCCTCAACCATCCAACACTTATTCCAACATAAAATTATGTTTGTTAGAATATTCATATGAATTTCCAACGAAAATTTTTGTCATTGCAATTTTTCGTTGAAATTGAAGTGTTTTCTTGTAGTGGTAGTTAGACATGACAATCCAAAAAAAAAAAAAAAAAATGAAATTGGATTAAACAAAAAATAAGAAGATAAACTATAAGGGACTCTCATAATTCCAAACATCCTTTTTATGATGATCATTTAAAAACAAAAACGAGTATATCTGTAACTAACATTAGAATTCTAAAATCTCAACAATCGAGAACGTAGAATTATGAAAAAAGATAGTATCTTTCAATATTTTGTTGGGTTTGAAAATCAAAACAATTTTATAGTTGTTAGACATCTGAAATGGTCAGCCTTAACATATTAGATTTAAAAAAATAAGGACATAAAAATTTTTAACATTCCTTTTTCTAATTTATAAAAAAAATCATATATTTAAGCGATAAAGAAATAATATTATTGGAATAACTTTTATAACCACCAAAATCCAAAAAAAGAAAAAAAAAAAAATCAAGTCTTAGGATCACTGTTCAAAAAGTCAGTTCAGGCGCTAGGCGGCGGTGTGCCGCCTACGATTTGCTAAAATCGGCCATAAAAATCGGCCAGGCGGGCTAGTCGGGCCTAGGCGGAGCTAGGCGGCCTCGGCGGTCATGGCGGCTACGCGGTTTCGGCGGGACTAGGCGGCTGAGGCGGC